GAGACAACGGCCAGACGCATGTGGTTTTTGGCGGGTTTGCACCAAGTTGACTAAGGTCTGCCTGGCTTGAGACAGGCAGTAGCAAATCATTGAACAACCGGTGGTGCCCTCCAGCCGTCAAAAACAGTGCGTGGCGCTGGTGCTCTACGCCAATCTGGCTGTGAGCTTATAACCCGTAGACCGGTTGTCTCCCATGGCTAGGTTTTACAGGAGGAGGGCCATCGACCACTTCCTAACCTCCGAAGAGGATGAACTAGGATAGTGTCAGGGCGCCCACACCTGACAGGAGAACGACTCGAGTCCTCAGCCAAAGCTTTCGATTAAATGTACACCCGAAATGCAGCGGGTTTAGCACATGGTCAATTCACTGGCTCATGCGGATTGGTGTCCTGGATCATATCAGGGAGAAGGGAATAAACCGGCTGCCACCCAGCGGTCGCCACAAGTAGGTGTCCAGGACATGAGCCAATGGCACAACAGTAACAGCAGTGGGTAGACCATCTGTCAGGATCTAGCCACCGCCAGCTTCAGCGAACCATAGGAGATATATATATATATTTGTATCGCAGTTTTCTCAGCTTTCGTGTTATATGCGAGGAAATGGAGTTCAGACTCATCTTGAGGGGAAGTGCGCTCATGAGGCATCGGGGAGAATATAGCTAGACACGAGATTATATTGTTTTATAGTACGTCAGCCGCGTTTTTACTTCACGGGAAAGGGAATGCTGTTTCGCTCTAGAGATAGTAATTGTATTGTAAAAGCTTCCCAGTTAGAATTTTGATAGTCACGAAAGCTTATTAAATTGTTGAATGCCGCATGGTTTGGGCAATTCTTCCAAGGCTGGTATTTGCGATCTTGTGGTCGCTCCCAGGAAGATTGGGGAGGATAGGTTTAGTTTGAACCCTTGTGGTGTTTTGTAAAGATTAGGTCTAACAAGTGTTCATGTCTTGTTGTGGATGAAATTTGCTGAATCTAATCAAATGTATGGTTTGTTGATGCAAAATGAAGATAGTTGCTTAGCAAGTTTGGCGGAGATCGCAGATATATTGAAATCTTTAGCAATAATTTTCTGCTTTACCGGCCGCTCAGAAGCATATGAGAAGAATTTGGTGCGGCAATCGATATGCGCTTTATGACAGCGTGGTACTTTGTACACACATCCCGTAAAGATGGTCTTGCAATTTATTTGAATGTTAAACCCAGTAGGATCATCAAAGCCATCTAGAAATGGGTTCCACGCAGAAGTCGAATGGCGTTTCTTGTCCATGTATATGTGGTAATCGTCATCAGAGCAGGATATGCGACTATCACAAAAGCTTCGGAAGTTTAAGATGTAAAAGTGAGCATCAGAAGTACGTTCGCTTTTTCAAGGCTCCGAGACAGTAAAATGTCAGGACAGGCGAGAAACAGTAGCAAACTGGATGTACATTTTGTTGATAATAGACCGAGTATTTGAGCAACTCAATCTAACATATACATGTTATGTCTGTAGGTATACTGACCGTTTGCATATGATTGGAAAGATACACCATCTCATCCATCTGAGGAACTTGCGTGAGCACAATCGGCATGCCCATTGGTTGGTTCGGGCATGTTTGGGCTAGGTTGATAATCTGCTGGAAGCACTGCAAGGCCTGCTGATTTATTGGATTCGGCGGACATGTGACCATGGACAAACCCGAAAAGGGGATTTGGTACGAATGGTAGTCAGACGCTTGAACGTCGTTTGGGACAGTATTTATAGCTTTCGCTCTCGGGCTTGTGATGGGTGGTATTGTAGTATACTGACATCGGGTTGCATATTGGGTAATAGTTGCATAGATGTTTAAATGTTAGATTTTTATACTGTGTCAGTCGGGGTTGTCCAGTAGATTGTTTAAGCAAGGCATCATACTCAGATGGATTGGGAAGAGCTTCACAAGGCGGGTATAATCGGTTCGTCTTTATGTTAGCCTGGTAGCTGATAATACACCCATTCAAATTAGCCTGTTCGGTAAGATGTTTTAATGCCTCTTCTACTGGAAAGTTAACAAGACTGTTAAGAGCTATGGTGTTATTAGGTGCCAGCTTGTATTTACTTGGTCCAGTTAGTCGGATTATCTTCGATTGTGTTGGAAAACTGAAGTGCGCGTCACAAGAGGTACGAATTTCCTTGCTATTCATCAGCTTTCAGGTTGAATACTGTGGCGCTGATGCTGATCTTGGGGTCCGGGCTGATGTCATTTGTGTCAACGATAAGCTGAGAACTTGTAATATCTAGGTCTGCGGATACTGTCGGAGGTAACAATAATTTCGTTAGGGTATTGGTATTTTTGACAATACTGAATGCCTGGACAGGGTGACATTGCTACTTAAGATCAGTTTTGTTGGTAAGTAGTCAAAACATCCGCGGAATCATGCGAATGAACCGTGCAGTGAACTGTCTAGTGGACGTCGCCTTCAGATGCAATTCAGAAAGCACTTTGCAAACAGCCTTTTGCATTCCAGGTGGCATTTGGTGTACTCGCTATGTGGTTGGATTGCGACTCGCAATCTCTATTCAGACCTCGGTCCTAAGTGGACCTCGCGGACCAAGGAGCCATAGTGATCAGGGCGTCAACCTTTGAACACTAGGCCTCGAGGTCCACCCCAGCTCAGGCTATCTCCATCTGATGAGTCCAAAGGAGAACGAAACCGGTCATGGGGTGTCCGGGTTGTGTGGAGCAACACCGAACCGCTAAGCCTTTTGCATTGCTTTTGCTGTTAAACAGCCGCAGGTATATAATCAAGCGGCATATTTTTGGCCTTTTAACTACGTTCTTAAGTTCAGTTATGGATTTTAAGCTGTATTAACAATGTTTTGCTCTCAACATTTTTGAATATGAGTGGCACCGGGTGCGTATGCTTAAAATGCTTTATTTTACGCGTAAAGCAAGGGCTTCACTTTGAATCCCGCTGGTGCTTAGTAGCATATATTTCAGCTCATCAAGTGGCAGCCTAGCTGGAACTTTAAACGATATCACATTACTTGTACGGATGATACGTTCTGTCACTACAGTGGAAATCTCACAAATAAACTTACCAACGATATGTAGGCGGTCGTATGACGGATTGAGACGTGGCTTAGGTAAGTGGAAATGTGGTTGCGTAATAAGAAGTAGGGACCCAACCCAAGCCAATATTTATTGCAAATCTCCTATGTCTCTTTCAAGCACATTGATTCTATCCTGTAAACTAGCACATTTATTTTCGCCAGATGTGCTGCGGGAATGATATTATTAGCGCTTATTATAATCGCTGTGATACTGTTTTTCGCGGTAGTCTAGCTGGCGGCACTTTTCTTCCACATTGAATGCGTGTTTACAGCTGTCGTGAGGTGAAAATTTCTTCTCAAGATCTACAGCCTAGGAGAAAACAAAAATGTTACTTGAGCGTAAAGCAAAATAGTAACCACTGACACGGAGCCTACTCGTAATGGTTGATTTAACTAGAATCTAACCGCAGATCGCACGGTCATAAACTGAGTGAGATGGAAGAAACTCCTAGGCAGCTACTGACTTAGAGACTCGAGCTGTCCGAGTAAGAATACATAGGGCAGGTGCACAAAAGTACCGCCGCCAAATTCACGGTGATAAGTACAAAAATGAGGGTATGATAACCGATCCCAATACAGAGGATATTTTCAGTTAACTATCTTCCAGTGTGTCTAATCAAATGATTATCGGCACATATGATATAATGTCTATATTTGACCAAATTATGTTACCTAGGTTGGAACGAGTAAGTTTAGAACACCTAACATGTAAAGAACGCCAATTGACTGTTCCAATGTTTCGAAATATGCGGTGCGTTGCGTTCAAGGTAGATTGTAAAACCCAATATTATCACCTCTGCCTCATTTCGGCCAGCAGAATGCGGGCGTTCCAAAACAGTTGCTCTAAGGTGAACACAAATATTTGTCTCTTAAATTCGTTTACACATCGTTAGTTTAACATCAACAAACAAGGGCATGAAACTGGCAGCATTCTATAATCAGAATAGGTTTATGTTTCTGAACTTTGCGTAGGTTAGATAGTGATGGTAGTAACGATAAATCTCGATGTAGATTATTGGTGGTTTTATGAGTAGAGTAATTCTTGTGGAAAGTAGAAGCCACGATTAAACTTTGCACAATAATCTGCCTCGACAGGGAATCGAACCACGGACGTCCGGATTACCGGTCCGCTACTCTACCACTGAGATACCGAGGACTGACGATCAGGTGCTCAATTCAATACATGACTTCTGCTTGGTTCGCGACGTATTGCCAATAAGCTCACAGTATCTGTCTTGGTGTTGCATATTGGCTCACTCATTCGTCACTTCCCAATGAACCCGTCGAGGCAGATTATTGTACAAAGTTTTAGCGTGGCTTCTACTTTCTACAAATCTCGATGTGACACTTCTCATTAACTCCCGAGCTTGAAAGCGCGTTTCCATAAATGGGCTGGCATCGAACCCTGAAAAAACAGCATACTGTGGTCTCAATAGCACTGGTGTTAATCTTGCATTTTGTGCATGTTCAGTAGGTTCAGTACCTGGCAAACAGATCCTTCATCAATGTAAATGCTCTATCTGCCGTCTGATTCTTTAAAGTCTTTCCGGTGTCCTGTGGCACCAGCGATTGCCAAGCGCGGATAATCTGGTCATTTTCTGAAGACAAACAATTTATGGTGAATAAGCCGCGTTGGCTTAGGTACACGCTACGTTTGACTGGTCGTCGTTTACTGATGAAGCCCTTGTTCTGATAACCGTATGTTAATCAGCGCAAAACTTATTGTGATCACCTTGAATTTTGTCTGGGTACCTAGACTTTGTAATCGGTCTCGCTTCTTTCTTTACTGTTCTTCTTTACATAAGTTATCGTGGCTGTACGGCTACGAACCATCAATACAGCTATTATTGATGATGATGTTTCGGATACGTTCCCTCTCTCACTTTATTGTGATTGCAATTCATTTTGTACTGGATTGTTTACTAGCATCTCGGACACCATGGCCGTGTCAGGTGACCACACATTTGGCTTACCTAGCAAACAGGGCGAGTTGACAGCTGCGGAGTTGATTTGCGGTACAATCCCTCGTCAATTGGCTGGCTTGCCCACCGATGATGATGATGCTACTGTGACTCGGACGAATTCTGAAAATGGGTGTGTGAATTTTCAGCAGCGCGTCGACTGCCTAATGCCTGTGGTTCATCACACATTGAGGAATGCATCGTTCTCCCGCGGATCAGATATTACTGCAGCTTTGTGTCACTTGTCAAATGGGGTAAGGTCGTCTCTCTTTAGCCGATGACTTGCCAAAGTTCAATGTGTACTTCGCACATTATTGTTCTTACTTGATGATGTTTAGTGACGTCGCTGTTTCGACTAGAGAACACAGTCAAAATACACTTTTTCCTACCAGTGTTCACTAGTGCAGCATTCTTAGGTGATGGGTATGTGCATTTTAAGTAAACCATGTGCTATTTTGTATGATATATATAAAATACGTGGTCGTTGTTGAGAGTTATATAATTGCAATACTTCACGCATGCACGTTGTAACATCTGAACTATTGTAGCTTGAGAGGATGCATTACTTGACTTTCATCAGTGCATTTCGGATTGAAGATATACAGTATGGTCTCAAATACTCATCAGGTCCGCTACTGACGGTTCCTGTAATATAGACCCATCATTAGCTAGAATTATGATCTTGTATCAGGTGGAGTACTGTACCTTTTTGCACGGATACTGCTCTTTTTGCTTTGTGCGTCCATCAGTCAGTCAGTCCTATTTGGTACTGCAAAGTGTTTTTGTTTTATTTACATTTCACTAGGAAACAGTTTTAGTCCGCCTTGCAATATTAGAGGGAATGGCGCAATGAAGCAGCATTGCGAATTCTCGAACTTAGGACTCCTTCCGAGATGATATCAAGAAGAAATGTTGTGCCGTTTCGAATAGTTGCAATTATGTAATTAAACCCATGGTTGACGGGCCGTCTCGATTCACACGGCAGCTAGTTTTCATATATCATTTTGGTATGATATGGTATTAAGGGCACTGCATGCATCGATGCGTCTCTTTAATCCACAGCCGTGGTTATATGTTCGAATAGTTATCACATCCTGGTGTTGCAGCCGAATGCATTAAGGAACTAGGTGAGAATCCTACGCATGTTCATTTAAAGCCACACTACTGTTCAACTACTTGGTAATACAATTTATACTGAAACTGATGGGTAATGTAGCCCGCTTGCTTCGTGCTATTGACTTTGATCGATGAGTATTTTTTGCTTGGATTAGTTGCGACGATCGTCTTTAGGTGGATGTGAAGAGAGTGAAATATCAGTTAGTAGCAAAGGGATATCAGAACCGGCCAGAGTTGGATATCTGTCAGTGTTGTGCCAACTGCAGTTAGATAAATTGACCGTCCCAAACATGAGTTGTGACGGTGAGCCGGGTAGAGCAAAAATCCTGTCGCCGATTTTCGTTTACTACTGAGCTTGATCAGACCATAATATTCAACGATAAAGGTGGCAGTGTTGTGTTCATTCACGAATACACAGTTGTCAGCCAGTTGAGGATTGCACAAACCATATTGCTTGCTAAATATTTTGTCATATCTGTTCCACCCTAGATTTGGATTCATGAAAGACTTAAGTTTTTCACTAAATTTTCGACAATTGTGGACCTTACCTTTTATTTACCATCGCTGTCAGCTCTCAAGTTTTATCATAGTCATGTAAGTTGCAGCTGTTAGGTACTGCTAATCTTGCTATATAGCACGCTTCCATTAAAATGCTAGCTTTTTCGTTTTCTTATTTGATGGAAGGTTCATTCATTTAAGAGGAATTGTATATGTAGTACATACAAGTTGAACAGGTTACCCATTCCAATAAGTGTAAAAAGGAGTTGTATCTGACCTTCTGAAACATCCCGAATGTTTCAACTAGCGAATGCGTGACAGTCTGAAATTTCTCGCACGTTGTAGTTTTCTTATGCTGAGTGACTATTGCATAAGCTAACTTGGAATGGTTAGTTAGGCCCAACACCTTTTGCCTCTTGTGGTTATTCGGTTCTTGGCTCTAATCACCAATCCTTATACATGTTCTAAAATATATGGTTACCCAAAATAAGTTCAAACGATTAATTGCAATTATTACATATACAAACGAAATAAATGGCAGCTGCACATACTGCACAACCACAGCCTGGGAGGTATCTGGATTGCTGCCAAAGGACTGGTAACATTGTGGGAAAAAATGGAGCCTTTAGAATATCCTAAATACATCATGCTGCAGTGACGAGAGTAAGTTGGGCTAGAATATAGCGAAGGAATCGTCTCGAAACATCTATTTTGTTGACAGATGAAACTACTTCTCAACAGAAGCATTACAACGTAGCTTATGTTAAGGGATGGTATCTCGCATTCATTCTGAAGGAATTAGACATGCCTATAGTCATATCCAGCTGCGAAATTGGTCGAATAGGATATTCTCACTATTCAGTGACATAGGCCAACTAGAAAACAACATCAGGCAAATTCAAAAAAGGTTTCTTTCTCTGTGGATAAACGAATGATAATAAGCTACCAGCTAGTTTCCCTGTGGCTGCGTCAACTTTTCGTTCCATATCAGTTGCTCTACTCGGCGCAATTACACGAAAAATCGCTAATGACTTTTGACAGGCAAAAATTAAGCACATCAGGTGAACAAATTTGCGCTACTCACCCGCTTGAGGTGAGTGCTCCCGGGTCATTTGAATTACTCCTCTCTATCTTCCCGCAGTGCTGTCACCGTACGCTCTTTCGATACGGATTTAGTAGCTCTACACACTGATTCAACATACGTGGAATGAATTTTTACCACTAGAGTCCTCACTGGCACCAACTCTTCTAATTGTCATCCGTGATTCAACACAAGCGGCTAACTGAATCACGTTGTGCCGATTGCTCTTCTGTGTAATACCATTCGATACAGGATTCTCCTGGCAATTCGATAGGCTCAAGCTTATTCCAGTCCGATGCTTCTCAGCATAGCTGTGGAGCAAACTGTGATCTCTCAATCTGTGTTTAGCGTTACGTCCAGACTTATTTACTAGGTTGCTATCGATCTAGCAACCGAGCACACTGACTCACGTTTATCCGCGACGCGGAAAACTGTACTGAGTGGTTAGCAAACAAACGCGTGACCTTAACGCTTCACGGCCTCTACAAACATGTCTCAAGTTATGAGTAATGTCGAATTATGTGTTAAGGTGGTGAAGAGTGGGCTAGTGTGCTCTAGATGCTTGAAGTCATATCACACCAAATGTCTTGGAATGGGACCTGTAGAAACGAAAAGATGCAATAGCGCCAAAGAGGCATTTTGGTTCTACCAACTATGCTGTATAACCCCCATTGTTAGCTGTCCGACCGTGTTGCTGAAGAAGTTCGAAAGGCTAACGGAAGCAGTCGAGCAACTAGTGAGCGACAGGATTACATCTATGGAAGGAAACGAACTTCCAGTTATGTGTGAAAACACTCCAAATTCCCCATTCAGGCCGAAGAAGAAAGCCAGACGTCCTAATCTCACCTCATCCTCTCAGACCCTAGCAATCTCCACTCTCGTCTCTCTCCTATAATTAAAAACAGTACCTGCAGCTTGCCTGTTTCAAATTCTTAACAGTGTTTCACATCCAGTAGTTTGTTTGTCATACTTGAGCCCCAAAACTACAAGCAACCCACCATTGTGAGGAACCAGGCACCATACGCATCGGTTGCCGCCAAGCAAACACCGGAAAGATCACCGGTAACTGTGGTGGCCGGACTAGGGAAAACTGAAGTGTCCCAGCGCAGATAGCCTCCAACACTGCCGTTCACAACTACTCCAAAACCAATAATCACCAGGCGCAACCTTGGGGCCTTAATCTCCTGTGCACTAATGTCCCCTAATCCAAATCTAATACAATTAAGCGTAAGCTGGCAGACGATCGAAATCTATGGAGTTCTCTCTGTACGGCGATCGGTGTCCATGCTGAAACCAAGAAAATGAAACGCATCTCGCGTCACCCAAACTCACTGCACTAGGGCAATCCCTGATTATTTCTTATAACGCCAGACTCGCTGGATGAGACAGAAGCCTTTCTGCCATCTGCAAATCTACTCCTCAGTGCCTCAAGTAGAGTGCACACACTAGCTGAACTCCCGTGGTAGGAACTTTCAGCGGAGCGCGCCAACAGAGAGGAAAGTAGCCAAAAGAAGCTAAGTAAACTGTGTTTGCTAACGGTTTTCAGGCGCTCACAGATTCCTGCTCCGGCGTTGCTCAGATACACGGCCGGGAGAAATGTTGTCGTACACGTGAGGCACTTTCTCTCGAAAGTGCTGTCGCCGCCTCGTTGACAAGGATTTCGTGTCACCTAACCACAAGGGGAGCCGTCCCAGGCTGTTGAAGCTGGTGTTACAGTCTGGGGTAAAGGCATCAATTCTTCTATAGTATTGAACTGTTCCGTAGTAAGTTACTAACAGGAAGTCATCTAAAAGCAATAGGAAGGTAACCTCGTTCTATTTACAACCCAGTAAGTGCGACAATCTCAATGAAAACATTCACTTTATGACCCGAATCAGTAACGGTTTCAACCCTAGTCATAATACCCGAAGTGACACAGCAGACTACGAGTGACCACCAGGATCCGGAGCATCTGGTACAAACATCTATCCCAACTTTGTCTCAAGAGCTGGCAACCGACACCAAAAAGCATTAGTTGCCAACCTTTCACCGGTCAGCGTAAACTTACTCGCTTCATCCATCATACCCAACACGCTTCTGGTCACTGAGATTGTCTCCAGCTGTACACTACTGCCCAAGGCCTAGTCAGCAAATTAGCTGATCTGAGACTTCGACGTGTGTCAGCAACTTGGGTCCTCATTACTAGCACGAAAACATGGTTGCGCTTTGAGAAAACGGATGCCGAAATCGCGTCAACAGGAGGGTCCGTCGTCCGGAATTATCGAGCGTGCAAAGGTGGGGGGTATCACTCCAACTTCGTAACCGCCTTCAGTGCGAACCCATGCCCAATTCGGAAACCGAAGTGCCCGAATTCATCTGGTGTTGCTTACGGTTGGAAGGTCTAGTGGCTGTTGTTTACCTCCCACCATCGTCTACACCTGAGATGGACTTCAACTTGGAGGCTGCGTTGAGGCAGGTGACAAACAGGAAGTACAGTCACTTTCTACTCACTGGCGCTTTCAACTTACATGCTCTAGAACCCCACGCCACACCAGGCCAGCATTTCAAAGCAGAGCTACA